AATTTCAGAGCGCATGCGTAAGAAATCGACTAATAACAAATAAGAAAAGATTTCTCATAATAAATTATCGTTAGATTATTCAACTACGGCTGAACAGATTCAGTTAGTTGCTGCTTTAGGGTCACTTTTAACCCCTTAACGATTGGTTAATGGTTAATTTTCAAGAAAACGATCGTAAAAGTGCCTATTTTTTGACTTTTGTATTTGTATTACGTATTTAATTAGTGCTGACTTCCAGTTTAAAATAAACTAACTAGCTACAATTACTTTAAAAATATCCTAGGACTGCCATCTGGTGCGTAAAATTAGAAATAAAATTTTTTCCGGGCAAAAGAAATGAATTAGTTTTATTCTTATTGGCGCGTTGCTACTGAACACTCCAGCCCGTCAATATCACGGGAGCGAGAAATAGAGGGCGAAATCTCACCCCGTCATTTTCACGGGAGCGAGAAGAAGGTTATTAACGGTCTCGCCAAACATACATCACGCATATGTTATTTTCTTACTTACTACTGCAAATATATTGATATGTATTCACAAAAATATAAACCTTTGGGGTCCACTGTTTGTACTAGTAGATTTTGACGGTCAATATCTAAGAAAATAGTTTGTTTACTAAGATATTTTTAATGATCTTTGAAGTATTTATGACTGAATCTATTTATAAAATATAAAAGGCTGAATAGTTTGTGTGAACGTAGTAGACCATTAAAGTACGGTCAGTGACATGAAACTCGGTTCAAAAAAAGTTTTGCTACTTTTAATTATATGTTTTTCTCATAATTCTAGAAGATCTTCAGTTTTGATTTTCACACATGTTTTTTTTTTAAAAAAATTTCTTTCTTTTTGTTTCACAAAAATAAAAAAACGTGTCTAATAGCTTTAAATAAAGAACATATACTTAAGATTTCTTCAAAATTAAAAATGTCAAGTACCCAACTCTATCTGAATCTTAAAAAAGTGGCTCTTAAATAGAGATTTACAACAATTGTATGATTAGCTTATGTTGGTAAAACAGTAAGGAAATAAAATAACGCATATCTTTCTTCAAAAAAAAAAAGTTTTAAAATTGCACATTTTTTGGTATGCACATATATTATTACTGGGTTTTTATTAAGATTATGCATGTTTAATTTTATATTTTTCATTAGTAAATTTTCGTATAAATTTACTTCCTTAAGTAATAATAGATTTGGTGAAATATTGAGTTAAGTCAGTTTAATGATGTAGCTTCGTTATTTATACTAAATAAAATTTTATTACATCTCATTTTCAATTGAATATTGTTTGCAGAAAATAAGTTTTTACTTTATACAGCAAATGTTTAAAAAAACAACTAGTCTGACAAATCGAATAACATATTGATACATTTATTCTAATCTTTTTTTTATCAATACCATATAACTCATTTAAATATTCAAATTAAATTATGCTTGCTGCTTTTTAGGAATTAAAAAAGATTCTGGAAGACGAAAATGTGTTTTATATTTAGTTTATTTATCATATATTTCAATATTCATACATTTTATTATTTGCATTCAAATTAATATTCAAACAACGTATTTAAATTTGATTACATTATTTTATTTATACGAATGTTTTTTTTTGAATGAATAAATCTTTCAGACGAAGTTAATACTTATTTTCAAAGCTAAGCTTTATTATCAAATTTCTAAACGTATTTACTAATAAAACATATTGCAAAAAATATTTTTCGAATTTTCTTTCCCTTATTTAAATAATACTGTTCTGCTATCTGCGATCTTTTTCTAATGATCTTTTTAAGTTTTATTTTCAGTTGAATAATGATGAGATATTTCAATGCTGCTGTGTTTTCTGTTAGAAAATATTTATAAAAATTGTGTTATCAAATTTTAAATGTTGATGATGAAAAATGCACATACAAATCAAAGTCAGTTATTTATTTATTTTCAAAACTGTGTGCTGTATCGAATGTTATAAGTTCAATATAAACTTATTTTTTAACAAACGTTTTATAAAGATAGTTATTTGTTTCGGTATATTTTTCTGTGTTCGTAATTTTTCAAAGGAAGTTAATAAAATTTGAGAAAATATTCTGTCTTTGTTCATTGGTTAATTTATCGTGAAATTTTGAAGAACCTCACTAAACAATCGCAAGAAAAAAATGTTAAAAAAAAATGTGTTATATGTTAATATTGAAAATAATGGCATCTATGTTAAGCCAAATGTGTTATAGTGAGTCACAAAGAATTACTTTTTTGTTGTTGTTTCGAATGTTCTTACCAAACCAGCAAGCCTGCTTGGTGAAACCAAGCGAATTTATGGCAAAGGGTGCGTTTCTTGTTTTTCAAAGGTACCATCTATGGCCAAGAATGTGACTTCAGCAGCCACACACACGCCACTGCCCGTTTATAGGGCGGATTAATTCATACATCCATTCATTAATCCACAGGTCGTAAATATGACCAGAACCAGAGAGCGTCAATCTCCAATTCAGTATCCCCAGAGGTAGTATGCGTTATGGGGACATGGAAGACTTTGCCACCCAGCAGATTTAAGTACGCCAGTAACTATTTATTGCACGCGGAATTTTAGACCGGACTTGATCAAACACATGACCTCTTGGACAGGGGCTCAACGTCCTATCAACTAGGTGAATCTTCCCCGAGAATAATTCTTGATGTAATCAATCAACAACATGAATTCTTGGTGCAGTAAGAAACCAAGAATAATTTAGTGTACTCAGTAAACTAGAAAAATTATTATGTAATGAACCACTAAGAATAATTTTTGGTGGAATCAAGCATTGTGGATTAGTTTTGGTAACACTGGAATTACAAGCCTTCTTAGTGTAATCAATAACCAAAGATGATTCTTGGTGTCAACAAACACCAAGAGTTAATCTTGGCGTTATCAAAAACCTAGGATTTTTCTTTTTGTTAGTGGTGAGCATATATGGCAGTACTTTTACTTTCGTTACTTGTACCGCCGGTACAAGTAAAAAGTACGTACTTTTACTTGTACTTCGTTACTTTTTAAATTTAGTACTTTTACTTGTACTTTCGTTACTTTTTTAGGGAAAAAGTACAAGTATTTGTAACGGAAATGTCGAATGAAATCGTTACTTTTTTCTAAAACTCGGTAAGCTTTCTAAAAAAAAAAACTTTAAAAAAAATGCTTATGTTTTTTTTAATTTATAAAATTAATATGCAATATATATGCATTCACAGCTAACTTCGTGTTTAAATACCTTCTGTTTCAACTTATACTGCACATTCAATTATTTTTTACTAGCTCAAAGATCACAAAGCTATCTGAAACCCCGTGTTTGCTTTGTTTATGTTTGTGCTTTTAAAACGCGTTTCTAAAGAGTAAAACAATTTTAAATCAATGGTAATTTAAATAAATAAAAATAATAAACTAAAAATTAAAATCAATAGATAAAATTTCTTTTTCGTGCAAATCCATAAAAAGTTTGATATTAAAATTATATTTGATTTTAAAATTATATTATACGATTATATTATAAAATTATATTATAATATTCTTCCGAATTTAAAAATAAATTAATATCCATAACTTTCAAAATTAAAAATAATTAAATAAATAACAGCAATTTTGCAAGAACATTAAAGAACATAAGAATATTATTCAATAAAATTTTAGGTTACTTTGAATTTTCGAATTCCCAGAAATGTACTTTTAAATCGTTACTTTTTTTGTTTAGTACTTGTACTTTTACTTGTATTTTTTACTCGTTACTTTTTAAAATAAGAACTTTTTACTCGTTACTTTTTTTAAAAATACTTGTACTTTTACTCGTTACTTTTTAAAAGTAACGTTGCCATATATGGTGGTGAGCAACGAATTACTCTTGGCATTAAGAAGTACCTACACTGTAAAAATTATTGGTCAAATTATGGTAGAAAATACCGGCACTCCGATTACTAGTACTTTTTACTATAAAATCCATTTTTGCCGTAAACTTTTATGAAATAAGTATCTGATGTACCTTAATTTTTACACTAATATTTAAATCAATAAATCGCAGTAATTAAACAAATAGTACTGTAAAGATTATGATAGAAAATTTTACAGGGAAAATGGATTTTAAAGCAAAATGGACTTTACCGGCGTACCAGTACTTTTTATTGTAATTTGATCCAGATTTTTTTACAGTATAGTATAAATCCTTGGGTAGATCAAATACGAAAAATAATACTTGGCGTATTGAAATAATAAGGATTATTTTTGGTCTTATTAAATATTAAAGACAGTTCTAGGTGTTCCAGGAATTTGCACGATTGTTCCTTTGCATTTTTTTTTGGTGTAAAGTATTTTCCTCCATTTTTGATGTTCAATAGCACTGAAATTTATAAGAGTGAATATGTATAATTTTTCATGCGTAATTACATGTTTCGCGCAATTTAAAACATACGTATTTTTCATAATAGCAAAATTTTGTTTCTCTATATGAAAAGGAGAGTGCGAAGTGAAAACTTAAACAATCTTGAACTAGATTAAAAAAATCAGTTGTTGTTAAAAAAAAAAAAAAAAGCCCACTAAAATTGTTGTCTTTTGAGACGAAAAAAAATCATGACTGGTTTAAATGTGCAGATTTTGGTGCAAGCACTCTGCATTACTGATGTTTAGATTTAACTACATCCCCTAAAATGAATATAAACACTTGTATTTTTGTGAATAAAAAAGTGTAACTTTTGTCATATGTTTCATATTAATCCCTATCAGTTAATATTTTTCTATACTTGAAATTTTTACAATGATCCAGCTGAGCTGCGTAATTTTTAGATATTTCTTTAATAGCTTTATCAAGAATTATTTTTATAATTTTTGAAGAATACTTAGATATGGATAAGGATAATTATTAAATGAATGTTAAGGAAATAAGATAAAGTGTAAAAGCTTCCCATATTAACTAATTCGCATAATACACACCATTTAAATTTACTATTTTCTGTAATGTTTGAAAGTTAATTTGATGCATAATTCTTTTATAGTTGAATATAATGTTACATGTTCGCCAAAGTGGATGATAGTCACAGTAAATGTCAACTCATCATCAGCATTAGTTTACTTAGAAAGACTAAAAAACTACATTGGTAAGTAAAATTATTCTACTAAATAATGTTCTTGGAGTTCTGATAAATTTTTAGGACAGATTTAATAATTTCTGAAAATATTATGGGAATTACATCCTCAGTTATGTTTCAAATTATCCTTTTCTGTCGTAATGCAGTTCTGCAATTGGCTGTAAAAGTTTCAGAATCATTTTTTTAAAGTGATCTTCCGAATAACTCATTAATTCCGTCATTTAGGTTGAGAAATTTGCTTTGGTGTTAATTCTGTTTAGCGTCTTTGACTTCCTAAATCATTGTTTCCTTAGAAGCATTTAAGGTTTTTGAGGATGTGGACAACTCTTGCTGACTTCTTGCTTCCGGAACTGTAGCATTTGCCTTAAGGATGTTGGAGATATTAAGAACGTCAGAATCAGAGAGCGTAATGCAGAATGGTTCAATATAGAATGATGCAATGAATAAAAAAAACATATTTAATAAAAATCATATTAAGTAAATGTAAGCAATAAAAATAAACGCGTATGATGGTATGATATTCGTTAGGCTTTCCAGTAATTATTTAATTCCAATCCATTCCCTGTTAAAGTTATACATAATCAGAATTATTGGTAATGAGTACAGCTCTTTATGTTGGTCTGATAGAAATTCATAAGAAATTCATTCTGAAAAAGGACTTCGAATTCAGCTTCTGAACCAATCAGCCTTACGAGAGTCCCTGGTCATTACGAGATTTGGAGATTAATTTGTGCGCATTATGTGGGCTTGTAATAAACATAATATTTTCAGATTTTATTTTCTTAGTAACGTAATAGTCGTTGTCTAATGTCATATAGTCATTGTCGTAATAGTCTTATGTAACAGCTGCAAGTATGTCTAAGGCTTTTAATTTACAAAATATATGGTAAGAAAATTAGAATCTTTTAAACTCTAAACCTTAGAAAAGTAAATTTTTAATTCTTAAAAGTTAACGTTTCTGAATATTATTTTCACTTATTGTTAAGTTTAATTAAAATATAAATTGAAAAAATAATAAAACTTAAATAATCTATAAGTTACTTTTCGAAATATATTTTTTCTGCGTATTCCTTGTATTATAAATTTTGTTCAAAATGGTTAACTTATTAAAATTTGCTAATAAAATGTATTTTCCATTTGTTTAACAGATGTGAAAATATTAAAAAAAATAGTCCATGATGCAACATGAAAAGAAAAATACATTACTTAAAATCAGAAGGATAATGTTTCATTGTGTGCTATAGCAGCTATTAATTGAATCTTGCTTTAATGTCGATACTGCAAAATATTCCAGATTAAATTGGGGTACTTTTTACCGTGAAAATCAGTTTTTGAGAAACTGAGAGATTAAAATAATTGTTATCTTTAATAAAAAAAAAAAGAGAAAACTAAATCCCTCAAATATGAAATATACGCTAATTATTTTATATAATTTTCAAATATTCACTGAGTCATATTTTCATAATTATGATATAGTCAGAAATGAATTAATCATATTTATCACGAAATAAAAAGTGTTAATTTACACTGGGGCACATTTTTTTCTATTGATGCAAATACTTCATCTTGCCTAATCCGGGAGAGGGGATTTCAAATCCGAAATTAGTTTTGATCTAAAGGCAATAGATTGTTTTAAATTACATTTTTTGCCTACTTCTTCATGAAATGTTAAAAAACTTTGTATATAACAGAGGGTCGCGTATGTTCTGCGACAAACTTCCAGGAGATTTAGGATTAAAATTGCACAGGAATATCTATGCCAGAAAATGTCATCACTCATGACTAGGGGTGTTTCCCTATTATGACTTGTTTAAAAATACACGAAGAAAATCACCACTATTGGCATATGACATTTCTGAACACAGATGCCAATGAAATTTTATTTTTGCTATTGTACTTCAACTGCCGTAGAAGTTTGTCACAGCATTACACGGCTCCCTAATATACAATGAAGAGCCATTACATTATGACCACCCTGCTAATAACATGTAGGACCACCTTTAGCCCTCAAAACTGCTAGCGCCCGCCTTGGCATTGATTCCACAAGATGCTGATAGGTAGTCTGAGGTATCTGGTACCAAGAGTTCACCAACTGGTCCTGCTATTTCCTCACATTGCGAGGGGGTAGCGTGGCAGCACGAATTTGGTTTTCCAAGTAGGACCACAAATGCTCTATTGGATTAATGTCAGGTGAATTTGGAGGCCAAGGCATGACTTGAAAGTCACTGGAATGTTCCTCGACGATTCGAACCTTATGACATGGTGCATTACCCCGTAGGTAAACACCATCACCCGCTGGAAAAACTGTTGCCATGAATGGGTGAACCTAGTCTGCAACTATGTTCAAGTAGCTTACAGACGTCAGGGATTGTTGTATTAGGATTATGGGTCCTAACGTGCCCCATGAAAACATTGTTCCTGGGCGAGAAACCATGAAAACCTGGGCGAGCCAATTGTTATAGATGGAGGGTGGTCACAATGTAATGGTTCTTCGGTGTATATAACGTTTTAAATCTTGTACATTTCCACAAATATTAAGCAAAAATATGTCATTTAAAAATTATAGCGTGGAGACAGAAACAGATTTCAAATTTGAAATCTGCCACTTGATAAAATACAGGATTTTGAATGACTAGTTTACGATACTTGCTTTGAATGACTAACTTAAAATTGAATGACTTACTTGCAAAACAATTTATAAATGTGTTAACGTTTATTATCTTGTATATCTGTTATTTTAGATTGCGAACCTGATAAAGTAGGAGAAATGTTCGTTTTCAAGCTGCCTCTAGATAACATTTATACTTGTGGTACAACGAGAATGCTCAACAAATTAACGGTAAATATTATTTGACTCATATCATCACTATAGAGATGCAAGGGGATAATATTCTCAAAAGAATATTCTTGGAGAACGAGAATATTCTGAGAATGATTTCGTATGGCTGAAATTTAGACAATAATAGAGAACATTCCTTTTTCTTATAAAAAAGCACAAAAAACATAAATCATGTTTGTATCAGAAATCTAATTCAATTATTTTCTCACACAGATCACAAAATATGTCTACGTATACACACTATATAATAAATTGCTAGTAATTTTCTTTTAAGAATTTTCTTTGAACTGAAGTTCTGACAAATTTCTTTTTAACGGAACATATGATTTTGATAGTTTTTTATGTTTTTTTCATTAGAACAAAACCATTTAAGATTAAAAAACTTCTAAGGTTCTTAAGATTAAAAAAAATTTAAGACAATCTTTATTTCAAGAAGAAAAAAACCATGCGACGCAAACAATAGAAAATAAATTTAAACTTGTTAGACAAAAGTCTGATAAAATTTTTCATAAAAACAAAGCCTTTTAAAATTTTTAAACAAAAAGTCCGTATTTTTTTCAAAAAAAAATCTCTGCTGTATACAATCATTTATAAGTTAACTATTTCTGTAAATGTATCGAACAATTGTAACTATGTTAAAATATTGTTTGTCAGTCTTATCTGTTATTTAAATATAAAATGCATCCTAGCTAATTATGGAACTTACAAGAAAATGAATCCATTGTATGCTATTTTTACGCGATTATTTCTCGCTTTTACTTTCTCGCTTTAAAAATAAAGGTAAAATAAAGGTTTTTAGTATTTAGGTATCCATTTAATTAAAATTCTGTTTTTACATCAAGCAAATAAACTAACTTTGTGCTAGAAACTTATTATGTTATCTATTTTTCTAAGCTGACTGTGACGTTTTTTTCGTTTCACTCCACTTTCTATCTTATTTTTCATTCCAAATGTTAAGCGAAAAATAAATTACACTAACGTTAAGCTATGTACACAGAAACTTTTACCAACCCCTAATGCAAACTTTACTCCCAAGCCGAACCGATAACAATAAGGATATCCTCAGATATTTTTTCTTTATAACATAAAAGGTTAAAAAAAAGCATGTTGACCAATACTATTACTGTTCTAGTTAAGCGAGTAATCCTTACCATTCGAACTCTCAACTATGATGATAAGTTAGTAAACAAATTGTAATGCATAAAACATTTTATCGCTTCAGTGTATCAATATAATTCTTACCTATCGTATCTATATAGTAACAGGTTTTATGCTTCGTAATAAAATGTGGAAAGTAGTTTTGTTGTGAGTTATTTTTGTGTTATTTCAAATGGTTATACTGGGGAACAAATTTTTGTGGAATTTATACAAATGCTTGATTTTACCTATTTCAAGTGAGGGGATTTTAAAACAGCCTTGCTTCTCAAGCTACAGTGTTTTAAGGACATTTTTAGTCTTTTTTTTGTCGATATGTACCAGCTCAAAACCATTATATGTAACTGAGGGTCACATAAATGTAGCGTCAATCTCAGAGAGTAAGGATTAAATGTAGCCGTACGCATATACGGCGTGTATACCCGTATAGGGAAGCGTACGCCGTACGCACGCTTCCCTATTATGACCTGTTCAGAAGCACGCGGACGAAACAGATCTGAGAAGTGCCCATAGCGGCATATGACGAGCTCTTCGGGTATGAGTTCCAGTACCATTTTAATCCAGATGATGCGCTCTAACACCTCTAGAAGTTTTTTATAACATTTATGTGACCCCCTGTTATATATAACATATTTAAACTTGTACAATTCGACAAAAAATTAAAACTAAGAATGTCATTTATAATGTCAAATGTCCTCTATAATGTAAATGACTAAGAATGTCATTTAAAAGGAAAAATGTAGCCTGGAGAAAGAAAGCGATAGCAGATATGAAATCAGCGAAGAGAAATCATTTACGATCTATTAAAAATTTTCAAACAGCAGAAAAAAGCGCAAAGCGTAATTTTGATACCCACTGTTACCTATAATGTATAATAAATATGGAAAAAAAAACTTATTGCTATTATAACTTTTGAACTAATGATCAGATTGACAATTACTGAGATCCAACTTCAATGGTTGGAGGTGCTAACCTAAACTAGCCCATTATCTCTCTGGTATTACTTAAAAAGTTTCCAGTTTTAATTTTTTATCATAACTAGCCCATTATTCTTGGTAAAACAAACTTAATTTTAATACTAAGTGTATATTTAGCAAAAGCCTATATCTCTTTTTACTAAATTTATTAGGTTGAGTTATAACGTAATTTCTTATCAGGTTTATTAAAAATTACAGAACATTGAGATCCATGTTCTACTTGGATAGCAAAGCATTATTCTAAGTTTTCAAAATGATTAACTAAGTTCATCTGCCGATGGCGTAGCTAATTGCTTACATTTTGCTGAAGGTATAAACGTTTTTTTTTAAATTACCACAATTTACAACAACAGAAACTGCAGTCTGACACTCATTTAAATGTTTGAGTTTAAAGAATTTAAAAAACATTAAAAAAAAACATTGTTTTTAAGTTTTTCTAGTCAATAGCGTCGTCTTTAATGTCATGAATGTAATGAATGTTAACAAACCTTCTAATTCAAACCTAACAATTGTAAATACATTTACAAGTATACACATCTATGATTTCTTGAGCTACATCATTTGAAAAATTAGAAATGAATTAGTTCGCATAATAATTCAGCCTACAATGTTATTATTTTACTTTTTTTCAGGGCGTTCGCATTTATTATCACAGAATTATTGTAGAAGAGCCTCATGAAGAATTCCAAATGATTCTAGCTTCTTGTAATATACCTCCAACACATAACATGACAAGCCCACAAACACTCTCTAGAAGAAGAAGAAACACATTACCAGAAAATTTTGTTGAGCCTGAGTAAGTATAACTGGTATTCCCAAAAACCTTAAATACATAATAATTGATTCGTTTATTTTAAAAGTTACCTCAAGAGATATTTTTGATTCCAAATTTACGCTTATCAATGAAATAGATTGAAACACGAATTCAATAGTTGTCTGCAGCTTTGCTTTGATTCTCTAAAAATGACTTGTTCACCTTTTACAAGTGCTAACCACAATTAGGGGCTATTTTTTTTAAAAAAACCAGCTCGAATGTTATAACTTGAGTCTGGAAATCAAAATAAGAAATCGGATTGCAGATTTAGGATTTGAATAACGGAAATTGTAAATCGAATTGCGGAACACTATTTTTTTAAATCAAAAAAACTTTAATGCGCTTAATTAATTTTTGGCTATGTATGTAAAACAAATTTTTCTGAAAATAACTTTTTAAAAATTAGAGTGAACTTGGAACCAAGCGATTGGGCATACCTTAGGGTCAGGGGGAATAATGGTCATTAATTACGCGGTCAACAGCTACTAGATAAAATTAATATGGTCCGTATTATACACTGGTCACCTTAACTTTCTAGACCAGCTGGCATCCATCGAATTGGTAAGGATTCAAGCTATCAGTGAGAATTAAAACCCAATACATCAATGACTACTCAGTGAGCCATGCTAACTTAGGAGATGGAGCGCTTGCCACCCAATTTGGTGACCCGGGATTAAATCTCTGCTATGGATGGTCGGTATGAATTCCACACCTGACTCGCACCAACCACAGTGCTGACTTAAAATATATTCTCAGTGGTAGACAAATCATGGGTTAGTGTTCCTTTTTGTGAGGATAACAGTGGGAGGCTTTCGCCGTTTTCGTATCCATGTAACGCAAATACGGGTTAGTTCAATCAGGATAGGTTCTCATGTAAGGCAAATACGTTCCAAATACTTGATCCAGGACTTCCAATGTCTTCCGGATCGAGCTCAAAATTACAAGGCTACGGAATTTAACTTGAGTAATCGTAAACTCAAAAAATTGTGTTGGCTACTCAAGGTCGGTATTGAAATAAAATGTCTACACAGTGTTTAAACCTCTCTATCATCACAATTCAGACATAGATATATAGACCAATAAATTACAAGCATTTTTTTAGAGTATCATACGAACAAACGTATTTCATCAAGCAAAAAAAAAATTGCTCAGAAATATATATTTTGTTATTCAAACTATAGATCGAATTTGTCTTATGGAGTTAATTAAATTGACATATGATACTATTGTAATTCAGCTTTAATAAGGATCAGTTTTAAACGAGCGAGTTATTTTAAAAAAATATATCTTGATTTCACTAACCTATCTTGTCTTTAACAGGTAAATGTTTAATATGAAATGTTTGAGCAACCGCATTTTACCTTTTAAGAAAAGTATGCATCACTTTAAATGAAGGGCTAATAATATTCTATGCTAATCCAAATGCATAGAATTTTGAGGAAATTTGCTCTCTTTTACTTATCTTGAACTAATTTAAAAGACTACCTATAACGAACGTTGCTAATTTTTAAATCCTATTTAATAAAGTTTTTTACATAATTTGCCAAATATGCATATAATTTTCAAGAAATTGAGATAAATGTTTAAGTTACGAAACTTACCACCGCTTTCCTCACATTGAATTTTTAATTTCCTTTTAAATGTAAGTTAAAACTTACAGAAAATATTAAACTTCGTAATTTAAACTAATTCTATTTTATGAGTTACTATAGCATAACTAAACTATAAGTAAATGTACTATAGTGGGGGTGAACTTTATAGTTAGTGGATTTAATCCCCACGTAATTAATGTCTAGAATTGTTAAAAGTCGTTGAGGATTTAAGATTCACGTTATTGATTGAGAAATGTCTGCTTGATGTATGATTAAAATGACTAAGATCAGCAAAATTCTCAAATTTTATGAGACAAACTTTGATGAAAGTAGTAAATACAGGACGATTTTATTAAATTATCCGTATATAAGAAAAACAGAATTAGGATCAAGGAATGACGACTACTTTAATATATTATTGGGTTTACCTTACAAAATCAGTTATATTTTTAATAATAAATCAATTAATTATTTAGATTTTGAAATTATACTGGAGGGGAAAAATCTGTGAAGATTACAGTACTTTATGTTAAAAGCAATTTTGGTAATAAAGCCAAAATCAACGATATTTAAAGCATTCATTTGATACTTTTTCCGTTCATGTGCTAATTGTATACCGGAAAATCGTGTTTACAAGACAATAATTCATATTACAACATGTTTAGTCAAAATACAAAATTGAAAAATAAATTTATCCGAAATATTTGTTTGAAAAGTTTTTGCATGTTATGGATAATACGAGTATTTAATGAGTTGCTCATATCTGCTAGGTTATATTTTTTTTCACAGAATATATCATTTGCGATTTTTTTCTTATAATATTTCAAGATGAAAAAACATTATTAAAATGAATTTACGAGTTAATAAAGAACTATAAAATTATATTAATCTTCTTTTTAGCTACGTGAACATCACAGACTACATTGTAGCAAGTGGCCCAGTTCCTTATCTGAATTTAGCAGTCAGGCAGCATGGAAAAATTCTAGATACAACGCTAAATGTCCAGCCAGGCACGCCTTTAGAAATGCTAATATACCTGGACAGAAAAAGTGCAGGTAATATAATATTTTCTTTTGAAAATTATATANTATATATATATATATATATGCAACATAAGAAACTTTTTTACAAATCTTATTATGCCATTTTCTTTATATAAATTCTCTTTTTTATTTTATAATTCAAAACGAAAAGCATAAGAAAATCACGTTCATAGAAGTTCAATTCTTGAAATAAAAGTTTTATTATATAAAGTACCATTCAGCCCCGAAATTATGCTATTAAGCGCGGCCTACTCGTGACAGTCACAATTTACTATAACAAGTAATTTTCTTAGTAATTTATTTAGTTCATAACTTATTTTTTTAGTAGAATTATTGTTGATTTGAAATTATTTAATTTCTAGTAACACGTTTCAAAAGCCTAACTACAAGAAATTATCACTTGATTTCAGTTAGTTTTAAGAATACTAATTTGAAGACGTAGTCTTCAAATGCTATCCAAAGGTAGTTTAAGAATGTGCTACAATACTCGGTTTTAAACAAACGTAAGCTTGCAAGTATCACTGATAGTATCTTTTAAGTATTTAGAACATTACTTCAGTGTTGTTTTCTAGTCCAAAAAGAGGAGTTGTCTAAATTTTGATTTTAATAAAAACCTGATATTGCACTACGAAAACAAATTGTTTTCGAACCTTCTTCAAAAACTGACATATTGAAATTTTTAAGCGAATTTTTAGATCGGGTGCTTCTTGCTTCTTGCATTCGATTTAAAATTTCAAGACCATAGCACGAATGACTTTGGAGTTATACGAGACAAGCAGATAGAATAACTCTTTATTTTAGCATTTCAAATACGTATTTGCATATTTTTCAAAAAGTGGATACGTGTTATGTTTATCTGTAAACTGAAATGATAGTTTCATCTAACAATCTTTATGGTATCTTTATGCTATTTTAATTTTAACTTGCGTTTTCTAGGATGTCCCGAAATGAATTTAGCAGAGAAAACTACATTTTGCAAATTATGTACAAAAACAGGAACAATAATTAAAAGCAAACAAAGATAACCATTTTCTTTCCATGAACTGGAAATTTGCCTTAATTTAAATTCTAGTTCATCAAGTAATTAATATTTACATCTAGTTTTGATCTGCGAACAGCGCACAAAATAAATTGCTATTGTGGTTTTCTGGTTTTGTTTCTCATCTTTATATCCCCATTTTTTGTTGGCAACTTTATGTTTTTAATCAACGTTTACATTGGCAACTTTGTAAAGAAACATATCGACTGTTATTTCCAATTTCTACGTTTTTGAAGCAAATGAAGATTTTGATCAAGTAGAATCTTTTTGATGTCCTATTCACAAATAGTTAGAGGCAGAAGAACAATTTTTCTAGAGTAAACACTTTATTTGTACCACATTAGAAAATGTATCTTCAATATACGTATAGGTAGAAAGTAATTTCAAAAATAAGATTGAATATTTTAGAAGTTAATATTTCAACTTTTTCATGTATGTTTTTTTCTTTGCATATTTGTACATACATTTAAGAAAATCAAAAAGTAATGCACACAATTTTTGAACCGAAAAAAAAAATACACTCTATTTTTAAACGGAATAAAAATGCTATTATAAATCGAAAACAGAAAGTTTACCTTTATATAATTTCATGAAAGAACATTTAAAAAAATAATATTTGATGGTTTACTATTTAATGATTGAAAAATGTTTGAACTTTAATGATCGGCAAATATTTCATGCATAGAATTATCTTTGGTATGAATGAATTTCATGAATTTCAGAATTTTATAAATTCTTTTTTTTCGAAAAAGGTTTTGATTCATTCAAATAGTTTTAATCTGCGGTGAAATGCTCAAGAAAAAAACTAATTACGTATTTATTTTACAATTTAAACTATTATTAGGGCTTACATCTTAATCGTTCTCTTTTTAAAACTGTTATAACTTGATAGCAAAAGCTCACTTGTTTGTTTATGCAGTGAAAAAAATAAAGATTTTGACTCTGACTTCGCAAATGAAAATATTGTGAGCAAAAAGAAAAAAAAAACATTTTTTTAAAGTTTTGCTGCTGAAATTATTCAAATTCCATTCCAGTATGTTAAAATCTGACAATAATACTTAAAATAATTCAAGTATTTCATTTTATTACTTAGAACGCTCTACTCTCTCTTCTGATTTTAATAACTCTTCTGATTTTAGTTATACAAATAAAATTTTCATTGTTTAAATAATAATACATTTATTTTTCAGAAACGTATGGTTTATTAACAAGCTTTCTGAAAGTCACAGACAGCTCGCCAAACCAAGAGGAAGTAATCATAATGAACGGGTAACCATTTTCACATGCTTATAGTTTTTGTAACTTTTATTTGTTTTATTTTTTAACTTAACTAAACATACGTCTTACGAACATGTACAAAGTAAGATGCTAAGATGTAAATTACTTATTGAAGTTGGGATTGACCCAAAACATGACTCGTGTTTTTACTTTTAAAGCTGCATTTTTGTAACAAAACTTAATGCCAGAATTGCCTCTTGATCATTGATCTCATTTGCAAATATTGTTTCTAAGAAACACGTAGGCCTTATTAACAGTGTTATATTGATATGAACGACTCTGCATCATTGCTAATTTAAAAGCAATTTGACAGAGCTAAAAGTAAAACAATTTTATTAAGTTCTACTGATTTTATGTGGATATGTGCAGTAAGCAAATTTATAAGTATTTTCGTCGGTATAATGAAAAAGTACCGAAAATCATAATGATTTTTTTGTTATATGATTGAATTTTCTTGGTATATGCTTCGAGCAAATATTTTGTCAAAGTAACGAAATAACCTTTGTCCCTTCTTAGGGGAAACAATTTCGTTAAAATTAAAAGCAAACTTTCGTCATTTTATTAAAACTGAAAACTTTCAGCGATTAATACATCTAACTTTTCTAATAATTTCTTTATCGCGAGCACCTTATAAGTAGATCGGTGTCGCCCAAAAAACACAAGAAAGTTTGATAGAACATAGAGATAAATTACACTCGTGCCAGTTGAGGGATTCAAACCCAGAAACTTCCCGGTACGAGAGCAACTTCTTTACCACCATACAGCCGGACTTCTTTATCGGCACTTTCTTTTCGATCATTTCATCTAGTCATCATTCTAGTTTCATCTTTCTACTAAACAATCTCATACAATGCATTACGATGAAGTGCCATAATTGAGAAAACATATCCCTCATATATTTGAGTGTTCGAGTTCTGCCTACAATCACGTAATTTCTTGACGAGATGACTCTCAAAATTAATGAAATGCAGCTCGAAATTAAATGAATCGTCAAATTTGAGGGTTTCAAGTCTAAAAGTGAATTTTCTTAGACTGAAAAACATACAAATTATATAAAATATATATTAAATAAAAACGATTTTTTTTTTTGCTTTAAAGACTACATATAATTATTCAAAGTGAATTTTTTTCGAACTATATTTTTCGTAGAAGAAAACATAGCTCCATACGAAAGCTCTATTTTTCGCGTGACAATCGTTCTTAAAGCAAAACAGATTTATTTCTAGTTCTAAACTAGATTTATTTCTTATTCTTTAGGTAGAACGAATCTGTAGAATGTTGCCACAAAAGTTGTCTTAACACAAACTTCTCTCTTATCCACGTTCCATGCGTTACTATTTCTTTTACAATTGTTGAATTTTCTTATCCTTTTTCAGGTGTTCCATCGATCCGTACATTTTCGGGAATTTCCAATCCCTGGAAAATGGAGACGCTCTGTCGGCGAAATTCAGAGCATTCAAGTTTCCTGACGCCAATTATGTGCTCTTTGTTGGTACAGTCAGCGTCTGTTTACAACAATGCCGCGGGGTGAGTGCCTCTGATTTTTTCACCTATGTCGCAGTTTTTTTTTCCTCGGTTATTTTTTTTTTTTTTTTGTGAATACTTCAATCTTAGATTTCAAATGCTACAAAATATACTTTTTTGTGAAAAAAAATTCTTTTGAAGTTGTTTTCTTTTGAATTCAAACTTTACCTTAGAATTTCAATTTTTAAAACGAAAGTTAACTGAAGTAAAAGAAAAATAAAATATTTTGTTAACCACGTTGCTAAATCATGGAAATAGTAATTTAATTAAAAATATTTTTACAAAGCATTGGAAAGAAAAATCTTATTAAAGAGTGAAAGTAATTAAGTAATTTAGATTTGTATAAAAGTTTAGCTTTAATTTAATTTATGGCAAAATGTATTCTAATGAATTAAGACATATTAAATTAAAATATGCAAACTAAAGAGCAAATTAGAGGAAATCTGATAGTATGGTAAAGAGGAAGTCTAAACACAAACCTCGGATTTTTTTTTCCTCCACTTTTTTAAAAGTTATACACTTGATTAACAACAAAAAATGTGAAGATGGTAAAAAAGTCTTCAGATTTGTAAACAAAAAATACTTGAAAACATAAAAAGTAAAGTTGCCAACCGAAAATAGAAAAAATATGTAAAAAATAAAAATAAAACAACCGATGTAGCAGAGCTGATTATAATATTACCTGTGTTATATGTGAGCTTTTAGTAAGCAAATTAGTTTCATAGTTATGGCAGTGAAATATGCTGTAATATGTCTGAAAAACGTTCTTCATTCTGAATTTTTTTTAATTTCTGACATTAGTGTGAAATCTCTTGGAACCATCTTAAAGTTTTAAGGGAATGTTTTTAAAATGACCCCACTAATTTGAAATTTGGTTTAGATACCACGTATGTGTAATGCCAAATAACTAAATACTTTGAAAATCCTTTTAATACTAATAAAAAATATAGTTTTACTTTATATTGAAATTTATATAGTGTGCTTTTATTTGATTTTATTAAATTTAGTGGTTAATGTACAATGCACTAGGCCTGAAGATATTTGTAAAACTGGCACAATTAAGAAATTTAGATAAAAGTTAACAAGATGAAAGTTAAAGTAAAATAAAAAAAAATAAATAAACAATCTTTTGCCTTAAATCTCAATGCATGTGACAGAGCATAACATTTCTCCCAAAATGTTTCGCTTAATTAAACAAAAAGTAATAATTCTGAAAGATGGTGTTATTCATCCATTTTATTGTTGTCATTTTTTCATTGTGTTTTGTGTATAAATATTTCATTCTCCATTTGCACGTAGTTGGTGGCTTATGATAGACAATTCAAAAAATTTCGAAAGGAAATTATGTGATTTTTAATTCTTCCTCTTTGGTTTACAGGTTTACTACTTGAAGTATTCCATGTTTGCAGTAATTGTGATAAATGTCAAAAAATTTTGAACTTAACATTGGTTAGAAAAATTATGCCTACTAATAAATTTGTTGTAAGAAATTTTTTTATTATCTTTAACCATTTTCCCGATTTAAATTTCTTAAAATCAGCCAATCAAGCATCATGCAGCTATTTCATTGCCTAAGCGTTTCCTTCAATACTATGTTTATCAAAAGATTAATATTTACAATAAATTTCTTATTATTTTAATAATTTCATATTTTTATTTCATTCTAGGTTCCATGTGGGAATGGTCAGTTAGGATATGGGCGAAGAAAACGAAGATCCATACCTTCTGATCTGCCACCCGATCCGAACAAAGTGTTTGAAGTGGAGATGACCACATTTCTCAAAGTTGAATATTCGGAAGATCATTTCACTTTAAACAAAGGTATGACAGGAACATGTATGTTGACTATAGTGGTCGTTATTGTTGATAAAGAAGTGTTTTTATTTTATAAAGATGATTTGCGTAAAGCTTATTGGGTGGTAAAAATTAAGATGACAGTACTCGGAGGAAGGGTCCGAATAAAACTTCAAATATTTGCTGCTTATATCATGAGGCCAAGGTTTCCGTTAAAAGAAATAGTTTCCAAAATTTCATAGTACAACAACCAGATGGACCTACAACACAGTAAAATGAAAGATTAAAGCTCAAAAATTAAAAATAAAATATATTTAGTTATTTACAATCTGCGATCTTTTCGTGCATGTCTTGTCAGTCAACAATATGCTTATGGTGACAAGTATGTATCATTTGTATATGTTTTTAGAACTACAGCTTGATCTATTTGCAAATATCAAAATCCATCGTAAAAGAGTGTTTGTTCAGAAAAAGTATATTCTAGTATATTTTTTCTGTATACCAATTACTAGTTAGCGTTAATTTATTCTCATATTTGAGGTTTCATTTTAAGCTATTGAGATAATTATCTATTGTCATTTAGATAGTTACATTAATTTTTTATTAAAATTAGAAAGACATCATTGTAGTATACCTATAAAATATGACAGTATTAGTCTGATCTTTTCCAGATTGTTTGCGAGCATATGAAATAGGTATAAATTACAAATTATTATCGTAATTAATTCAAGAAGAAATATATTAGAAACCGCACCATTTAAATTATATGTTATTTTATTTGAGTTGATTAACAAAAATATTTTATGTAATGGAAAATTGACTCTTCAATTAAGCTTATACTTTGGTTTCCTAAGTTATTGAGTTTCTTTTTCGCCATGAATAATAATTGAAAATATGTTGATATACTCTTGTTTTTTTTAATTCAACAGGGGTACCTTAGCCTAACTAAGGGCTACCCAAACCTTCCTGATATAATGGGGTACCTACCAAAATATCGAAGGGGCAGCTCTGGTCTCTCTCGTCATTCTAGGTATAAGGTTCTGTATAAATGAGACTAACGTAAGAATGATTAAATAGGCACTTAAATTGGATCAAGTTATAAAAATTGAGAAATACTCAATACTTTATGTTAACTCAATACTTTTACTTTTTTTTATTTGCGCAGGGTAAAAAAATTAAATTTCTGTTTGAAACGAATTTTATTTATTTTTAATCCATTACTTATGAATTTTAGGATCATTAAAAGGAGACTTCGAGAACAACCAAAAGAAATCGGAGCAACAGGCAAACGTAAGCTTCAGTTCCGTAAACGAAGTTGCCGCCCTCTATGGTAACAACAGCAGTTCTCGTCAGTCATACAGCTACATGAGAACCATAATCGGAAGTACATTGCTACTCATATTCCATTCTTGCTGGTTACGAGGATTATGGAAATGAGGAGGAAAAAAACACACAAAGCGAATCTTGTTTTTCGCTTATAACTTTGCCAATGTTTCGCCAATTCTAATCACGTGGTTTTCACTGATCTCATAACAAGTATTCATTGAACTTAACGCATCTGCTCATTCTCAACTAAAACATTTCAAGAGATGCCCGATTTGTCTCACCCCATTTTCGAACTTTCTTATCATGTCATATTTATCGCTATCATGTGATTGTACATAATTTTCAATCGACAATAATTTCACTGTTTAAAATTATAATAATAAGAATATTACATGACATAATTTTGTGTATAATAATCAGTCTGTAGTCAAATGTGTCAAAAACATCAGTTTGTATCACCAAACAACGGAGTTAACAAATTTAAACTTACATTAATCGACAAAAGGATTTCCTCAATGCTAATTGGATTTTTCACAACAACATAATGGGATATTAGAAGAATAATAGTTAAATGTTATATTTCTTTTTTCTTTTTCACATAAGGTACTCCTATATTAATTGCTCAGTGGTTAGGGCACTGAGCTGTCATTGTGAGGAACTGGGGCTCGATCTCCAGTTGCAGCTTGAAGCCCACCCAGCTTCAGATTGATAGGTAACAGCTTGTCTGGAAAGTAAACGCAGCCTGTGGGTGTGGGTAGTGCTGACCACTTTACCAAAATCATGCCATTGTTCACAAAATTGTGGAGCTATACCTTTCATATACTCCCTCGCCCTCAGCGGAATGTTGCGGGAATGTTTTTTTTTTAATTTTTACTCGTATATTAAGTACTCACATTTAGTGTTTGCGTTTCAGACGTTATAAATATGTAAGAAACAGTTTTATTGTAACAGTCAATGATGTTTATTGTATTTTTTGCTCATTAAAATTCATATGTTTTAAGCATCCATATTTAATTAAAATTACATTGTCATTGTAACATTTTATAACAGGAACGAAATAACGCATGAAAAAACAGTTATATCTTATTTTTCTTACATGGGATATTTAACAATTGTGCAATGTGCGTCACATAAATAATATTTTTTGTAAAAACAAATGTAGAAAGAAATGTAAAAATTCTTAAATTATCTACTTCTTACATTCACTTCATTAACATGACAACTTTTGTGAACCGTATGATGCATTCCATCATGATCAAAATGCTGTACAAAAGATTGGGCATCTCTTGAAATGATTAATCTAACTTTGTGGAAAGACGAAGTATTGCACTGTAAAACACTGTCTTGTGTCGATGGTGAAGGATTATTTTGTAGGTGAATGACTGTATTTTTTTCTCAATCCCGGGAAGAAGTTATTCCTCAATAAAGGATTAGCCAAAGTGTCGCTGAACAAATGCTTCGTGCTATGTTTATGTTGGTTTTTAACTTTTAAGAGTGCTTGATTTTAACGTTATTGACTCCTGAGTGTTAATTATCAATAAAAATACTTAATTTATCTAAATGGAGTTTGTTCATTTTGATAAAAGTAGTAACACAATACACAAATTAACAATACTTAGAAAAACACCTTTTGTATTGAAATGGTATGCTGCTCTCACTAATTATCATTTTGAAAACTCAGAGTTTATGTCCATATTTATAACCGCGCAAGTTTCCCATCGTCATATAATACAAATTTTTTCATGTTGGTCATACAAATCATACTGAATTCCATTGCAAAAATATATGAATCAAATGTACAAAATCATAAATAAAAGTAATATGACACACACTGGTTCAAAAGTATAGTTCAAAGATTAGGTCATGAGGTGAAAGCATGAATTAATTTTCTTTGCGCTTTCTTCCTATGGACAACGTTAGATTTGATTTTGAAACTCATATATTGAATATTTGAGTTAAAAGAAATTTTAAAAAATTGCCTTTTTTGCTCTTAACCATTCAGCTTGTGAAACTATCTTTAAATACTAATATGTAACTTGAAAACAAATATAATTTATTATTATATAGCAGTTTTAGAGTATTTTTTTAAAAAAGGAAATACAGATATTCATTTTAACTATTGTGTGCATTACTAATTTTAATAACTTTGGTAACATTTCTGACTATAAACTTCCTTTCAGAATATAAACTTATTTAACAGAAATTTTGCTAACAGCAAATGTTAGAACAGAAAAACATACCATCTCGAATCAATTGAAATGTCAGTTTTCTATTGCTTCGAGTTTTGTATGCATATTTTTCATGGATGTTAGATTATATTTCATGGAGCATATTTTCATTCAGATAAATTATCCTTTTTAACTGTCAGATGGTAAATAAGAAAGGATGAAACAAATAGCTTGGAATTTGATAAATTTACTACTAAAGAGCATCTAAACACAGTAAAATAATTAAATTGTGTGAAAAAGAAAAGGGTAGTCTTAATAATATTCCATTTTTGGAACAATGGAACTTCTTACAGTTTCATTTGTTAATGACGATGGTCAAGATCACTTTAGTTGTGTTCCATCTTCAGGTGGAACGAAGTGGTAATCACTTAGAAGTCATTGAAATTGCATGATATTATTTTGGGAGATGCATTTAGAGTACAAACGTTTTAAAAGTAAAAAAAAAAAAAATTATATTCATAAAATATTCTATATTTCCTCCTAAAATAGATTTTAAAATGAGTCAAGATAAGAGCAATTTTCATTTGTTCATGATATTTTGAAAAATTTTTCTTGTTTTTTTTTAATTTTTTCTCTCATCAAATTTCTATTTCTTACACGATATTATAATATTAAACTCGCAAGTACAAGGTGTGAGTATCTCGATCCTGCTTGGTTGTTGAAACATGGCATTTGTTTACTTCAGCAACTGTTCTTTCTATTCTATTTCAAGTAAGCCCATTAAGTACCAATTCTCTTAAGTGGCACATTCTATATTCTTTGACAAAGATTCTTTTGCAAGGATCACTATATATATCATCATTATATATTTCTATGTATGAGTATATATATATATATATATATATATATATATATGTATATATANAGAAAAATACATAAGCTATTTTTTTCTGAGCATAAATTTAGCGTATGTGTACTAGTAATCAAATGTTTGATTTCTTACTAATTTATTCTAATTATTAAATTATAGAAATAGGATACATTTTTTAGATTATTTTCTTGAACGTAAACTTTTCAGAGTAATCAGTTTGGTTTAGTTCTATCGCAAAAATCATTAGATGATGGAAAACCTAAAACTGTTAATTTATTTATCTCTGCATAAAAAGAGTTTACTTAAGCCTAGTTTATTGTAAAAAAAATATGTATATATATATATATATATGTATATATATATATTTCTTGCTTAACTCAAAGATAGCCATGAAGCCATGTAGAATATAAACAAACTAATTACGAATCGAAGTTCCCAGGCACACAAAGCAAAAATATATCATGGATACAAGAAAGTACGCAATCAAATAATCAATCTGTTAATAATAATCAAGTTAATAACAGTTAATAGTTAATAATAGTTAATAGTTAATAATAAGCTAATAATAATAAGTTAATAATAGTTAATAATAGTTGATAATAGTTAATAATGAATACGTTAACAAATAATCAAGTTAAGTAAAAGATTCAGATGAGAAAGAATTATATTTCAACAAATTCGTGGTGCTATACGTCATTGTATTCAATTAACAGTACATTTATTAACATTATAACCTATGTGAAACTTAGTTCTCAACTTTAATACGCCATTTTGCTTATAAGCCCCTAGCGCTGACGTCATTGCTCACATGTGTGGGTATCTGTGATCTTCTTCTTCTTGAAGTGCAAGAACCCGATTAAACTTTCACTTTTTCGTTTATTTTTATTCCACGTGACTCTAGGATTTGGTGTTCTACGTCATGTTTTTCAATATTACTTTCAAAATCAATATTCTACTTCCATACTATAGACTCTAAGTTGCTTTCATCCATGTTTCACGTATCAGTTAATACTCCTGATTCGTCAAGACCTAGTTTAAAAATGTATATCTAGGTCTTCCAAATCTGACGATATGAAATTTTTAAACAAAATGGTAAGAGAAAGCAAAATTTGTAAATAAGACAAAAAAAGAAGAAAGAAACAAATAACACTTTTTTTAAACTTACTCTGTAACAAGTTTATCGCTGAGTAAAATAAATCACAATAGTCAAGAAATTAAAAACTATCAATAAGAAGAATCTACTGATATGGGGAACAATTGATAAACCTTTTCATGATAAATTTTAACTCTATCAATTGCAAACAACAACAAAAAAAATATAACAACCTCCTAAAAGTCATCACTTTATCAGAAAGAATTTCTTTAACGTAGTTAGAATTTTAACAAAAGAGAAAAACTCTTGACTACGAAAGATTCATTTGAAACATTGGCATGCGAACGGTAAGGGAAGTAGAGACTTAAGAAAAAAAATTTAATTAAGGTATGCCATGAATAAACTTGTAATTCATAGTCGATAAAGAGATAATGAACTTTAAAATAAAATGTCGCCTCAACCGATAATTATGCATTCCACTAAATTCGAGAATCACGAAAAGTGCATCCACAAAAAATATGCTTATCTTATGCTAATATTCTGTCTTATTTGGAAATGTGTCCTATATTTTTCCTATATTATGCTATCTCGCTCTACTAAAAATTCTATCTTATCTTCAGAAACGGCAATTTTTATATTTACTACACCTTACCTAAATGAACTACTTATTCTATACAAATAACATATTATTCTACCTAAACTATTTTCCACCCACTAAAAAAATAGATCTTTATTTTATGCTAATATCATTTCCCATCTAAATTCGCATTCTATCTAATTCCCATCATATGCTACCTTATTCTATATTAGATACACTAAAAAAAGGGTCCATATTTTAGAGATAAAATTATTTATTATTTAAACACTTATTCTATCCAATCATATTTTTATATCTAATCTAGACACAAACTTTTTTGTTATTTTACAAACTTTATATTACAAGCTGCAAATTTTTTATTAACTACTCCGTATCTTAATAAACTACGTATTCTACACAAATAGCATATTATTCTATTTAAACTATTCCATACCCACTGAGAAAATAGGTTCTTATTTTATGCTAATATCATTTCCTTTATCACCTAAATTTGAATTCTATCTTAGTCTTATCATATGCTACCTTATTCTATATAACATAGACACATCCTCTGAGAAAAGCGCCCATATTATAATGATAAGATTATTTATTATCTAAACTCTTATTCTATCTAAGTCCTATTTTTTGTAACCTAATATAGACGTCAAGTTATTTCAACTAATAATTTAAATTTAAATTTTAGGCAACTGAAAATTATTGAATCATATTTTATCGCGCAGACACTTTCATGGGACGTCGTTTTTTTTTATTTCAAATAAAGAAATTGCTAAGTTATTCCTTTGAAACAGATTATAAATTTACAAGAAATAAAGTTTTAGTAGGGAATATATTTTATGAACAAACTTACAACTCACAGTAGCTCAAGAAATGAAGGGATTTTACATAAAATATCCCCTCAACTTATCATTCCCCGTCCTACAAACTTCGAATTTGGCTTAGGAAAGATTTAGATCAAGAACTGTTCATCTACTAAAAATCGTATTCCTATCTTACGCTAATATTCTAGCTTACTTATAAAAATCTTATGCTATATTTATATATTATGCAGTGTTTTTCTTCCAAAACTACACGTTATCCCCATAAATTGAATATATTTTTATTATTTCCTTCTTTTTTCCTTAATTTCCTTATTTCCTTAAATCAGAATAAAATGCCATATAAAAAGAATCAGTTGTTTAAACTGATTCTTTTTATATAGCATTTTATTCTGATTCAACTTTTAAACAATGCGCTCCTAAGAATTCATTAAAAAATGCGTTCCTAACTTTTTGTTTAATGTGACTGATTTTTTTACCTCTATTTTATAAAACGCATTCTTTCATGGGACATCATGTAAAAAAAAAAAAAAAAAAAAAAAAAAAAAAAACTAAGCAATTACTAAGTTATCCCTTGAAATCGAAGTATATACTTTTAAAAAAGAAAGTTTAACTAGGAGATATATAGTGTGGATTAACTGAGAATTCACAATCGCTCAAGAAATAAAGGGCTTTTGAATAAAATACTACCTGAACTCAATATTCAGCGTTCAAGAAAATTCGAGCCAAGCTAAGAAAAGATTTAAATTAAGAAAAGTCCATCCACTGAACATTGTATTCCTATATTATGCTACTAATATACCTTGAGCTGTGGAGGTTCAAGAGATAGAGAGCTAGCCTCCCAATGACCTGACTCAGGCTCGAGTCCCAGCGCTGACTGGTCAATACGAGTTCTGTCACACTGACAGCAGTGCTGACATAAAATATCCGCAGAGGTACACGGATTATGGGCTCTCGCCATCGGCAAACAGTGGGAGGTTTTTTGTGGTTTTCTGTAGCGCAAATGCGTGTTAGTT